TTATAATAATTATAAAAAATAATATAATTTTATTCAATAATGTAATCAAATAAAAAACACTGCAATTTGTCATCGGCCGGTGTTCTTGTTGGCGATCACAGGAGGACACTGCAGGATCGCAGGGAGCAGGTAAGGGACTTCTCTGGGACACTGCAGTGTAATCCCGAGTGTGGCTCGGGGTTACTGCTTCTGGCAGTGAAAATTAACTCCGAGCCATACTCGGGATTACCGCCAAGGTGGTTAAGAGTGAACACTCTATCCACTGAGCCATCTGGGCGGCTGCTCAGTTCAAGGTGCTGAGTTCAGTCTTAGTTGTGGGTGGGCGTAGCTCACCACTGAACAGGCGATCTTGTTGTTATACCAGCTGAGCCATTCTGCCACCTGTTGGCAGCTCAGTGATAGCTCAGCTCGGGTGCAGCATCACTGGCCCATGTGGGAATTGAACCGGCAGCCCTGTTGCTCAGAGCTCACGCTCTTAAACCAACTCTTAACCAACTGAGCCGCTTGGCCAGCCCCATAACTGATTTTTTAATCTAATCTGAGATTTTCTATTAACCAACAAGTTTAAGCTGTTTATATATCTTGTGATTGTTGATATATTTCTACCATCTTAATTTGTATTTTCTATTTACTGTGCTTCATTGATTTTTTTTCTAACCATCTCTCTCACCCCCCACATTGGTTTGGAAGTTATATATACATTTTAATTCCAATCTTTATTGTGCCCCTTAAATTTTTAACATATTACATGACTTCAATCAAGATCTCTATTCTTTCCCAGAATAAAACCTAAAATAATGATAATTCCCCCAAATCTTAAATTATACCAATTTTGGTACAATTTCACCTTGCTTTTGTAATTCCAAATTATTCATTTTGATTGTTTTATACAGTGAATGCTTGTTTAGATTTACCCATATATTTATAAATGTCTTTGATCACCATTCTTTTTTTGCATCCTTTCTTTTGATCTCAATTTTATTTTTTCCCTAAGTACATCCTTTATTTGTTCTTTTGACAAGGGGTCTGTGAGAGGTAAACTCTCTCAGTTGTTGCCTCAAAATATCTTTACCTAGCCCTCAAGCTTGCATGAGAGTTTAGCTGGTTATATCATCTCTAGGTTAACAGTTTTTTCTCTCACCTCTTTGAAGAATTTATTGTCTTCTGGTATTATTATTGCTATTGAGAATTGTTATTCCTTTGTAAATAATCTGTCTTCTCTCTGGTTACTTTTAAGATCTTCACTTTGTCTTTGCTGTTTTGCAGTTTCTCTTTGATGTGTTTTTATTTCTCCTACTTGGAATTCACTGTACTTTCTGAATCCAGTGATTCATGTCTTTCTTTAGATTCCCAGATTCTGAAAATTCCTTTGAATATTTTCTCTCTCCCATTCTCTCCTTATGGACCAACCTCCTAATAAATGTATTTGGAACTTTCTCATTCTATACTCCATATTCCATATATTATAACATTTCTTTCATATTTTTAATCAGTCTATCCCTCTGAACTGCCTTTTGGGTAACTTCTCCAAATCTATCTTTGGTTAACTAACTTTTTCCTCAACTGTGTCCAGTTTGATTTAAATGTTGTACCAATCAACTAGGTTATGCTACCATAATAAACAACCCCAAAGTGTTCATGGCTTATAACAACAAAGATTTATTTTTTGCTTATGTTACATGTCCATCTGCCTCTGAGTTGGCAGCAGGCTGTTCTCTACATTTCCTCGCTTGTGATTCAGACTAATGGAACCTCTACTATTCTAGAGCTGTGATGATTGTCATGTCGGGTGAAAAAACAGGGTAAATCACATAGTAGTTTCTTAAAGGTCTCGCCTCAAATTTGAAACATATCCTTTAGGTGACATTTTATTCACCAAGTCACATGGCCTTGCCTAAGTTCAAGGGAATAGAGAAGTGTGCCGAGGAGGAGGAGATCAGAAATAATGAGGAATAGCCTCAACTGTAGTAACTACCACACCTAATCTACTTATTTAATTTCTATGACTCTATTGCTCATTTCTAGGAGTTCTTTTTTATTGTTTTTTGATAATTGTATTATTTTGTTATCATGTTTTTGATTCCTAATTTCATGCCTCTAATAATTTTAACCATTTCTTTTTTTAAATGATCAGATTGTTTTATTATTTGTGGTCCTTTGGATATAATCCTGTTGTGTTTGATGTGTCTGATGATTCTTGCTCATGATAGATTAATTTCTTGTGTATTTTATAATTCTATACTCTGAATTCATCTTTAGAGGAAACCTGTGGGTCCTGGGTGGAGGGTGTGTCTCTCCAGAGTGGCTTTATGTTTGTTTCTGACAGTGTTCCTAGAGTCCCTATTGTGATCTTTTCAGAGTCTCTGCATATTGCATCATCACTTCTGTCATGGCATGTACTTTGGGGGCATGCATTTTTCCTATGAGGAAGGAAAATAATTTTTTTTTTCCTATTAGAGCCCGGATGGAACAGACAAACTTCCTTGATTTGCTTCTCTGCTGTTTGCTGATTGTCTTTTCCTTGTCCAAGTTCTGTTTAAAAATGCAGTTCTTGGAAAAGCCTTAACTTTCTATGGGAGTCTCAGAGTCAACTCTCTGCCATGGGTGTCTGAGGCCTCATCTCAGATTATGTGTGAGTGCAAAAGCCCAGCGCCCAGATAAATGAGGCTGACTCTTGTCCCAAGGAGGATGCAGGGTCAGCTTGGTTTCAGTTCTCTTTTCTTTTCTTGTATCTGAGTACTTCAATTTCTTTTCTTGTAGATTCAGCTGTTCTTTTGGACTAATGTTTGCTGTATTTTATCCAGCAGAAAGTATTTGTAGTCAAAGGGTTTTCAAATTTTCCAGTCAGCCAAAATAGCAGAAACAGAAAATATTCTTTAAATGTGAAGAGTTTATACAAATTAATAAAATACCAGTCTTACCAGTGGACAAAAGATATAATTAGAGAATTTATGAAAGTGGAAATACAAATGTCCAGTGAACATTTGAAAAGGTCAAAAAATACAAATTAAACAATGAGATTAGATACAATTTTGACCCATCAAAGTGAAAGACATTTTATAAAAGAATGGACAAGAAAGTCAATGGCACAATGAATTGAGCATTATAACCTGTTAAATGCAAATATCAATGAGTTATTTGAAAATAATTTGCTTTAAGTGCTTTATGTCTTTCCCCTGACCTAGTATTTACTTCTAGAAATCTATCTTAAGGAAGTAATCCAAAATACAGACAATCAGTATGTTTCATATTTAGAAAAAAAATAGGTGTGTTTTTTTTTCTTTTGAGTGTGTATCACATTTCTTGAAATCAGAGATACTGAGATATTTTTATTTCACTGTAGTCTTCAGAGTATCAGGCAAAGACAAAGATTGCCAGAAGTTATGTACAATAAATGCTTAAAAACAAGCACTATTAGGGAATAGTCATAGAGTTTCTGATGGACACATTTATTGGGTGGGTGATGGCCCCTCTGCACCAGCCCAAGCTGAGATATAGCTTGGAAAAACTCGAGTGGGAACAAATGTCTAAAAACCACTGATTCACCACTCAAGACTCAGCTACCATCTCCTTTCTTATGGTAAGCACTTTTTCCACCCCCTCCAGACTGAATGTGGGACTCTGCTGTGCTCCTTATGGAAGTCTACTTGCTTCTGTCACAGCACTGGCTATACTGCCCTGCCCTCCCCACAGGTTGGGAGCTCCTTTGGGTCAGGGACTCTATGCCCCTTACCTCTGTATTCCAGTATCATGTGGGGCACACCAACGGGGCTCAAATAAACATCTGTCGAATGAAGGAGTGAGACTCATTAACTGCTCATTCCATAAATCTTGGCTAAGGTTGTTCATAGGGGACATTGCACCTTGCAGGACAATAATGAGAGAGCCCACATATTAGGATTTCTATGATGGCAACTTCCTCACTGACAGAGAGCAGTTTGTCAGAGTTCCAGATGCATGTGGGTCAGAAAACTTGCTGCCAAGATCCAAAGCAGACAGTCTGGAACATGTGTACACTGCTTTCAGACTCTGGGAAGCATCATTGATATTCCCCAGGAAACTTGTGAAACCTCCTGTTTATAAAGGTTTCTCCATCTGTTATAATTTCTGTACTTTTCCTCCTCCTGCTTTTGGTAACACGGATGTTTGCATTCCACAGGGATTCCTGTTGCTAAAAGGTCTGTTTTCTCCTGCTAACACCACCCACCCTCATCAGCGAGAGCCTAAACCCTGGCAGTTCCTAAGGAGAGGTAATGGTGTAGGCACAGTCCTCCTGCTGGGCTGCTGCAAGAGCCTCCTAACTCATTTCTCCATACCTCAACGGCTACACTGCCCTCATGCATTACCCACTCTGAAGTCAGACAAATCTTCTAAAAATACCATCTGACCATGTCAGGGGATGCAAACTCACTATTGACACCTCATTGCCTCAAGGACAGAGGCCTGGCTGTGGCCCTGGCCTACCAAATCTCACCTTCAACCTGTCATCAACACACCCCAACACTGCAACCACCATTTTGTATTCTTCCTATCCTAACACCACACCTCTGTAAGTACTGTTTTCTCCACCTGGGGTGTATTTCCCCCTTATGCCTGGAAAACTCCTATTTTTACTTTAAAACACTAGATGCCATCCCTCTGCAAAACTTGCCTTGACTCCCTCAAGCAGAATCGGGCGGCCCCTCCTTAGTGCGCCTATAACAATTTCTATAGGGTCTTTTTTAAAGAGTCTTTCTTTAAATCATTTGTCTTGCCCACAAATCTACTACTTATCTCAGCACTATCGCCTTTAGCCAGGCTCTCATTGCACCCCAGCTGCCCAGACTTCGTCTTTCACCTTGACTGTTGAATAGTAGCTTTGTGAGGTTTCCTGTCTCTGGCTTTGCCCTAGTAATGTACCTTCTAAACTCCATATATGATCATGTCATTTTCTTGACTAAAATCTTTGGTTGGATCCCTAATGCTTTCCAGAATAAAGTCCAAATTCCTTAACATGTGCTGCCTAAAAGGGGCCCCAAAGCACAAAGGGTCTGGGGTTTGTCATTTCACAAAGCGGAGTGAGCTCTTGCAGCCTGCGGGCTTTGTGTCAGTGGTCAGCTGCTCTGGTTAATTGTGTCAGGAGTCAGGAGTCGCTTTGGGACCATTCATGTTCTCTGGTTCCAGGCCCCCAGGCTCACTGGAGTATTTGCTGTGAGGCCCCTGTGGGCAGCACTGGGCAGGGGCAGTGAACCTTGCTCAACCTGAAACGGGTCCTGGGGCTGCCCTGATATGAGATGTGATCAAAATATATGGTGAACATTTAAATAAAAAGAAATTATTACAGTAAAAGACACATTGCCATTAATTCCCCTCAAAATACTCCCCCTCACTTCAAATACACTTATCCCATCATTCTTGCCACTTTCTGAAACAATTCTAGAAGTCTTCTTTCATGAGTGTCTTTAAGTTGCGCTATTGTGGCTGCCCTGATGTCCTAAATCATTTTGACTTTGGGGAAGAGCCAGAAGTCACACAATGCCAGATCCAGTGAATAAGGTAGATGAGGACATACTGTAATATTTTATTTGACATAAATTGCTGTATACCAGAAGCAATGTGTGACGTGGAGCTCTAAACCATAGCTCACACCCAACTGACTGCACCAAACAAGTTGAAACTTGTCATACACTGTTACTAAGGTTTGATGCGCTGCTTCCCATATTGAAGATCCTTGCCTTTCCATTGGATGGCACTGGGCAGCAGTGTTCACCATAGTTTTTCATCACACTGGAAAGGCTCTATGTCACACATCACTTCTGGTATATGGCAATTTCTGTCAAATAAAAACATTATAGTGGTCCTCATCCACCTTATTCACCAGATCTGGCACTGTGCGACTTCTGGCTCTCCCCCAAAGTCAAAATGATAATGAAAGGTAAACATTTTAAATCAATTCAGGACACTGAAGCAGCCACACAGCACAACTAAAGACACTCACAAAAGACGACTTCTAGAACTGCTTTAGAAAGTAGCAAGAACAATGGGATACGTGTGTTCGAAGTGAGGGGGAGTATTTTGAGGTGGATTAATGGCAATGTATCTTTTACTGTAATAAATTTTTTTAACTGAAACATTCACTGTATGTTTTGATCACACTTCATAGGTGTGAACCCATTCTAGAGCCACCAGGGACCCACATTACAGGGCCAAGATGAGGGCAGGACCCTAGTTCCTTACCAGAGGCTCCGCAGCTGCGGCTTGAATTCTGATTTGCAAGTTTTTTAAATTCCATGAGCTCCGCATGGTCTTTCTCATATGTCCTCTTCAGGTTCTCCACATACTGCATCATCACCTCTGTTGCTTTCGACATGCGCTTTTCCTGCAGGGAAGGAGAGCATGAGCACATGAGCATCTGGAAGAAAGGCTTGGCACTTGTTTGCTCTGAGCAAGGCTCTGGGCTGGGAGCATCAAAAGGATACAGGAACCAATCAGATGTGACCGTGCCCTCTAAGAGTTTGCTGACCAGTCACGTAAGCTGAGAAGGGGTCTCAGGCACTTGCATGTAGAGAACAAGAACAAGCACAGTTGCAAAGCCTTGGGAGGTGGCAGGCGGGAACGTCATCTCTGCTTGCAGGGAACGGGTCAGGAAGGCTTCCTGGAGTTGGAGTGAAGTGGCTGTAGGGAGTGGGCAGCATCTGGGCATTTATGAGATGTGGGCAGGAGGAACAAAGAACATTCAGGCCAGGGAACGCCAAGAGGGTCCAGAGGCAGGAAACCACAGGGCTTGTATCTAGGTGAGGACTTAGCATCCAAACAAGAATCATTTGAAGAGCAAAAGAGGAAACTATTAAGAATTATGCTGGTTTTTCACAGAAATAGAAAATATAATCCTAAAATTTATATGGAACCATAAAAAAACCCCAAATAGCCACAGCAATCCTGAGAAATAAGAACAAAGTCGGGGTTATCATGCTACCAGACATCAAAACATACTACAAGTCTACAGTAAGCAAAACAGTATGGTACTGTCATAAAAACAGGCACACAGATCAATGAAACAGAATAGAGATCCCAGAAATAAATCCATGTATATACAGACAGTTAGTCTATGACAATGGAAGAATTTACATTGGGGTAAAGATAGTTTATTTAATAAATGGTGCTGGGAAAATTGGACTGACACATGCAAAAAAATGAAACTGGACCACTTCCTTACGCCATATACAAGAACAAATTCAAAATGGATTAAAGACCTAAACGTAAGACCTGAAACAATAAAACTCCTAGAAGAAAATATAGGGACTAAATTTGCAGACATTACCCTGAGCAATATTTTTACTGATACATCCCTGCAGGCAAGGGAAGTAAAAGAAAAAAATGAACATATGGGACTACATCACAACAAACTTAAAAGTTTTTTCACAACAAAGGAAACCATCAATAAAACATAAAGGAAGCCTACTGAATGGGAGAAGATATTTGTCAACGATATATCTGATAAGAAGTTAATATCCAAAATTTATAAAACACTCATGCAGCTCAACACCAAAAAAACCAAACAACCCAATTAAAAAATGGGCAGAGGAGATGAAGAGACATTTTTCTAAAGAGAATATACAGATGGCCAACAGGCATATGAAAAAATGTTCAACCTCACTAATCGTTAGGGAAATGCAAATAAAAACCACAATTAGATACCACTTTACCCTGGTCAGAATGGCTATCATCAATAAATCAACAAAAAACAAGGGCTGGCGAGGTTGTGGGGAAAAGGGACCCCTGGTGCACTGTTGGTGGGACTGCAGACTGGTGCAGCCACTATGGAAATCAGTATTGAGGTATCTCAAAAAGCTGGAAATGGAACTACCTTATGACCCAGCAAATTCACTCTTAGGTATTTATCCAGAAAAACACAAGACACTAATTCAAAAAAATATATGCACCCCTATGTTCATTGCAGTGCTATTTACAATAGCCAAGACTTGAGGGCCGGCCGAATGGCTCAGTTGGTTAAGAGCTCGCTCAAGAGTTTGAGCTCTGAGCAACAGCGGTTCGAGGCCAGCCCGAGCTGAGCAGCCGCTAAGCTGCCAATAGGTAGCAGGATGGCTCAG